TGAAGGGAAGAGTCCATTGATGTGGTTCACTTCATTGTTGTCTTATTTCAAGCTGTAGCAGCCACCTGCACCGTCAGCCATCACCTGATCAGTCAGCAGCCATCAACATGGGATGAGACCCTTCACCAGCAAAAGACTGTTACTCCCCAAGAATCAGATGATCATTAGAATTTTTTAGCAATAAGTACTCTAAAATTCAGGTATAATGTTGTTGCTTTAGACACAATGCAATTGCACACTTACTGGGCTACAGGATGGTGTAAACATAAGTTTTATATGCACTGGGAAACCAAACTATTCGTGACTCACTTTATTGTGATATGCACTTTCCTACAGTGACCTGGAAGCAAAGCCGCAATATCTCCAAGGTGTGGCTGTGTGTTTCCGTGTTTATCATTATCTGTTTGACGTTTTTCTGTTCTCCAGACTATAAGCTCCTTCTATGAGTACAGGACCTGGCACCTACAAGGGGACTAATAAATCGTTGTGGAATGACTGAATGAACAAATGATTGGGTATGGCCTCTTCCAGGAAGCCTTCTCTGTGGCCCTCTCCTGTCAGGGTGGATGTGAGCGCTCAGCTCACAGCCAGCCTGTCCACTGCTGGGCTGCGTGTGGCCACCTTCTGCCCTGAGCCTGGCTTCTGCCTTCTGCAGCTCCAGCATGCCAGGCACGGGCGGCTCAATAAACACTGGCTGGCTGAACTGTTAAATTGAAGTGATTTTCTCTCAGCCTCCTGCCCAGCCTCAGCTCTCCCAGATTCGTGAGGGCCCATCAGGACCTGCGCCTCGAACAGGGAACAAGAAGCCCAGAAACCGGCAGTAGGAGGTGGGTGGAGACATCCATCTCCTCCTGCTCTCTGCCCTCATGGCTGTTCTCCTGAGGGTTTCAGGCAGTCAAAAGTTCAGGCTCCACGTTTTCTGGAAGAGGGAGGGGAATCTTTGTGTGGGGGATAAAAAAAAGTCCCCAAACTCAAATCACGCACACAGAACAACAAGTCATAAAACAGACACCATTGGGAGAAGATGGAGTCACATGGTGGGAATCTGTGGATTGCAGGGGAGGGGGAGGCGGCATTTGAGAAAACGCAGCCTCCTCAATGGGAACCAGATGGGCTGCATGTTCTTAAATAGAATCCCAGACTTGTAGCGCTGGGCAGGAGCTGGCCTGGGGTGCTCTCCCCTTGGCCCCTTCATGTGCAGAGGGGAAATGGAGGCAGAGGGGGGAGGTCATGGCCCGAGATCTCAAAGGAGCAGCTTCCAGACCCCAGGCTCCTGGCCTTGGGTCAGGGCTCTGCTCCCCCGCCACGCTGTCTCCCAGCCCTCTGCCAGTATCTCCAAATTAGAAGCATATCGGGAAGCAGTACTGTCATTCCCCCTTTTCTTCTCTTTCTTCCAATTCTTTCTCTTTGGAGTATAATTTTAGAGGTGCCAGGAAGTCCTGGTTGTTCCATAATCCCACCCCCATCGCTGCTCCATCAACAGAACCCAGGACAACAGTGATTAGCCTGTGACCGGCACTGTGCTAGGGGCTTCACAGCTATTTGCCTCTGTAATTGTCCGGGGACCCAGTGATAAAAGGGTTGGCCTATCGGTTCAGCCACCTGTAGAATGGGATGCAGGATCCAAGGTGGAGTGGGGACACAGGGATCACATATTGCCATTTTGCTTCTTACTGATCACTTAGGATCACCTTAACCAGAGACCCTTGAAGCAACAACACGTGAAATAAAGCTGACCCTTAGGGGATGAGGCAAAGCTCCAGAGATACTGAAATCCAAACGGCTTCCTACTTTCCCCTGCACTGCCGATGGCTCCCCTGCAGAAATCATTGTGTGGAAACATGGAAGTGGACATGACTTCCTTATTTTCACTGACCCCTCCTCCCAGGAAAAGGCATCACTGGTCTATTTCCCAGCTCCCCTAAGAAACAGATTCTCATGATGTCTTCCACAGGGCACCACAGGCAGCTCCCACCACAGGGGATCATTCTCACAGAGTGATGTGAATGACAGTCCAGGCCTGCCCCTGAGCTTTCCTGATGCCCACCCAGGCAGGAGGCAGGACCTCAGGCCTCCCAGAGGCACTGTGAAGAATCCCTGCTTGTCTGGGGCTCAGAGGTGTCTGGGTCTCTTAGCAGGAGGGGTAAAAAGTTGGATATCCACTTCCACTGAAACCTGTCACCCTTAAGCCTGCCACGGGGCTGGGAGTTCTTTCTGTCTAACCCCTCCTGGAGCTACCATTGTCTACAACAACCAATCATGCCATCCTCTAGTGGTCATTAGCTTATAGCACGTGCCTGATTCATAGGTGAACAAGTGGCTACATGAGGAGTTGCAGGGAGGGCATTTCTGACAGTGGAAGAGCCTGTGCAGAAAGGCTGGGGGTGAGGCCCTGACACACGCAGAGAGGGGGAGTGAGGAGGTGAGCAGTAGGAGGGCTGGGAGATGTGAACATGGAGCAGGAACCAGCTCCAGGCTGGAAGGCCATGACAAGGAGTCGGGATTTTATTCTATCAATAAGCATTAAGCAGGGAAGGGATGAGACTAGCCTACAGTTCTGAAATCTCGCTCTGGCTGGAGTGCATTTAGAGGGAACAGGAGTTAGAGCAGAGCATCAAGAGCAGAGGCTACTGCAGGGGCCAGGCGCGTGAAGGTGGCCGGGACAAGGGTGGTGTTGGTGAGAGGCAGGGGGTGGATGGCTGTGAGTGTGTGTTAAAGGAAAACTTGACTGGATTTCCTGAGGAATTGGATGAGGGCCAGGAAATATCCTAATCTGGGGCCTGAATAAGTGAGAGGCTAGAAGGGACATTCATTGGGACAGAAAGGTCAGCTTCCTTCCCTAACCCTCCTGCCCTGACTTCAATCTGTGACTTCAGCAAGTGAGTAACGTGCTGTGGCCTCTCTCTGCTCCCTTCTTTGCAAAGCAGATGGAGAGAGAAGGAAGAAGGCCAAGCCTCCGCGGCTGTGATCGTACTTTCCACTTTTAGCTCAGCAGTTGGGAGCCCGTGGCCTTGCCATCCCTTGCCTCCCACTCCTGGCTCTCTTAGCTCTGCTCTAAATCTAAGTCAGCTTAGTATAATTTACAGAGTGCCTGCTGTGGCCCAGCCACGTGAAGGCCCCTAGGATCTCAATAGGAGAAGGAGCATATGTGGTCCAGCCTCTGTGGCCTGGGGAGAGCCAGGAGCACAGGACCAGAAGGGCTGGAGCAGCCAGAGAAGCCTTCCCGGAGGAAAGGGGTTTGGCTTGGCTTGGAGGATGGAGAAGACATAGAGGAATCCCTATGAAATTACTTTCATGATAGGAAAAGAGTCCTGGAAAGCTGTCGACACTTATATGAGGTCAAATAGTAGGAACTGGAAGCAGAGCCAGCAGTTCCAATTCCTCCCAAGGCAGGGAAAGGCTAAGTCCGTCTCTGCCTTACTGTCCCAGACCACCACTGGAGAGCAGGTGAGGAGGTCTTTGAAGGCAGCCATGTGCTCATCTTCTGTTCTGAACCTCCCCCTATAGCAGGTCAATGCGCCAATTCTTCTAGAAAACTCCAGTGATTTTCAAGTGACCCCAGAGTAGCAGTATCACTTGGGAACTGAATAGAAATACAAATTCTTGGGCCTCACCCCAGACTCCAAATATGAATTAGAAACTGCAGGTGGGGCAAGGTAAGACACTGGAATCTGCATTTTCCTAAGCACCCCAGGGGTTTCTGATGTGCACTGAAGTTTGAAAACCATAGCTATCCTGGACAAAACTTCCCCAGACTCGTGAGATGTTTCTCTTCTGCTGCAATTCCCCGAGAGAGAGCTCCCAGGCAGGCCTCTCCAGGATTGAACCCTGCCTCCTCCCCAGAAGTTGCTTCCGCCCATATGGACTCTTTACTCTTTAAGTTGACTGCCCACTTCCACCCAGGCCTGTGGAGTGAAGGCCAGGTGGCAACATCTGCCTTCTCCCCTCCCCCACCTCTTCCCTCCTGGCTGGCCACATTCACCAAATGTCCTCGGGGGAGTCAACATTGTCCATCAGTCAAGCAATGAAATAAATGGAGGGACTTTGTGAAAAGGGAAGAGGGGATATCCAGTGCCCCATCCTAGTTTAGTTCATCAGGCTTCCATTTTTGCCCCAGAGACCCGTCCCTAGCAGTGAAGATGTGTGACATCAAGCTATTGGCACACTCACGCTTGGCACCTTTGGATTAGAGAGAAAAGGCTGGTGTGCATTTCAGACACAAAATCAGTTGTCTGCTGGCTGCTTCCTGGGATGGGACCATTTCATTGTCCCCAGGGAGCCCATAGGACAATCTTACAGCCAACTAGGGGCCTCTGTTTTCTTTAAGGCTGTGTGCGAGATCCACCCACTGAACAGACAGACACCTCCTCCGCAGAGCTCTTGGCAGAACCCTGTGGGAGGCACTGCGTGCAGGCAGGGGGTGCTTCCTGCCAGTTAGGCCCCTCCTCTCCTATGAGCATTTGCTAAAAACCAAATTTCTTATATCAATTTTTTCATTGCTTTGATCATTTTCTTGTTTAAGGCCCTAGTGAGGGAGTACGGACTCTACTTTCATGAAGCTATGTTTGCTTAAACTGCACATGCTGGGAGGGGACGTTTCATGCTATCTCAGGCAAGGCCAAAAGAGGAGGGCATGATCCAACCTCCTCCAACAAGTTGGCAGAGGAGGTTGTGTGTATGAGCATACGTGTGCCTAACTGCCCCTGTTAGAAAGGGCAGGAAGCCGGGGGCTAGCTCAAGCTTCACCACCAATAGACTGTCTGGGGGAGTCAGGTAGCCTCTCTGAGCCCCAGTTTACCTATCTGACATGTGGAAACAATACTAGTTCTGCACCCCCTCCTTGGGACTATCGTGGGTATTAAAGGAGCTAGTGTCTAAAATAGCATTAAAAATACTGATGGCTACACAAAGCGAGGCAACATAGTCAGTCACTAACAGAGCCATTGCCTCTCTTGAGAGCAGAGACGCGGCTTTCCCACATTTTGTATTCCCCAAAGTACCTGGTACAACCCATGGCAGGTGGTCAATCAATACTCGCTGAATGGATGAAATAGAAGACACGGTCCCCGTCTCTGCGGAATTGAAGATCTAGCCGGGGCACAGTGGTGGGGATGAGAAACACACAATGGAAGAAACTTAAGAAGAGTAGGGAGAGGCCCTCGTTAGCTCAGACACCTCTAATTTAGAATTCGTGATGCTTTTACAAGGCCAGAGAGGAATTGGACCCTGCTGATGGGAACATGTGTTGAACAAACTCGTAGTGGGAACAAGATAATAATAACAGGAGCTACTGGCCTCCGGGCAAGTTGTGTTCCAGATGGCAGAGGGAGTGCTGTGCCCTTTGGCAACACCCGGTTGCATGGGAGCAGTTAGCATGCCAATCACAAGTGAACTCTGACCTCATCTCTGAAGCAGCCAGTACCTTTCCCTGACCACACTTTGTTAATGGCCGTCCTGGGTGACTTCATGTATTTAAGGAACATAAAATTTTATTTTGTTAAGACTAAACTATTACTGGCCTCCCTCTGCCTCCTCCCAAGCAGCTCAGATCCATTCACAGTTTTCAAATAGAGTTGATGACAAAGCACATGCAACCAACTCTGTCATTTCCCCAAGAACAGGGAATGTGGGATCCTGCTCTAGCAATCAGGGGGGACTCTGGGGCCAGAGCTTCTGGGCTGCTGGAGGGCTTGGGAGAGCTAGCCACTGCCCCTTCTGGGGCCACAGGTGCCCCAACAAAATCAAGAGTTTGGACCAGTGATGGTCAGCGTAGGTGCCTGCTGCACTGGACTCTCCTGGCTCTTGGCCCAAGAATGTCCCAGGCCTGGAGTTGTGTGAGAAGGCAATGGCTCCTCCTGGGCAGTGCTCTGGCCAGGGGAGATGTGCACACCATAGGGTGGAGGCAGAGGTAGCCCGGCTTGTTTTGTCCATGCGTTCTGGCCTCAGACGGTTTGGCCAGGTTCCCAGCGGGGACTGGCCTCAGACAGAGGGAGTGTCCAGTTAAGTCCTGCCAGCTGGGGCTAGAGAGGAGGAGGCAGGGGCTGATGGACCGAGGGAGGGGGACTTCATCAAATTTTCACAGACCAGGCTATTGGGAGCTGGCCCAGGTCAGCAGAAGGCTGGGCCCCAGGCCACCCTGCCCCTCTGGGAGTGTGACTTCTGGGTACTCCTTCCATGAAGTCTCCCCTCTCCCCATCCTGGGTTTGGGCAGAAGCAGGGCCAGGAGGGAGTGAAGAAAGGGCAAAGGGATGACATCTGGAGGTGGTTCCCAGGGAAGGATTGCTCTTCCTCTGGAGTCCCTGTCCTGGGCAGGAAACACACCGCAGCAGATGGAGGGGTGATTTCAGTTATCACTTGCCTTCCGGCAGGAGTGCTTCACACAGTCCATAGCCTGTGGGGCTCTCGGAGAGGCCCTGGCTTAGCCCGTTTTCTCCTTTCTGTAGCCTCCCCACCCTCCTCCTCCTCTATGTTCTCCTTCCTCACCTCTCCCCTGGAGGCTTGGCTGGCATTCTGGTCAACCTTTGCAGGAAGCCAGTGCCGCTGGCCCAGCCCCAGGGAGCTGTACGGCCTTGTAGTTACAGGGTGGACTGCAGCCTGGCACCTGCGTCTCCTGGCTTTGTCTGTTCTCTGGGGTTTAGGCCTCAATGTCCAACACCTCCGGGAAAAGGAAGGCATGGGACCTTCCTCTAGCTCTGTCTCTAGTGGGCGACAATTCCTGAACCCTGAGTAACTGCAGAGCAGCATGGGGGAGGGGGTGCAGAAGGTAGAGTGGCCTCAAGAGAGTGGCTATTGACTCACCCATTGGCAAGGGTGCTGTCTTCACAAGGGCAGCCGAGTCCCATGTGTGTCCTGATCCACCTTGAATCCAGCACTTCCTGTCCTAGGGCAGGTGCCACACAGAACCTTTGCGCATGTTAGTCAAAGGCACCCCTTCCTCAGGACAGACACAGCTCTTCCCCAAGGCTAATCTCTTGGCAAGTGGAGCCTCCACCGGGCCCCACAGCTGGGTGCTCAGCCAGATAGGCAATTATCAGTGAAGCACAGCGAAGCGAGGGTAGTAGAGTGAGAGGGAGTTGAGCATCAGGGATGTGAGGGGAGTGGGTGACTCCTGGGAAGGTCTCGTGCAGGGTGTGGGATTTGCTTAGGTCCTTGAAGGGCAAGTCAAGTTCACAGTGGCTGACAGCCCAGGCACAGACAAATGCAATGAGCACTGGCATGGAGGCTGGCAGGTGAGAGCCGAGGTCTTTGCTGGGGAGAGGGGTATGTGAAGAGCCCCGTGTGGAGATGGTGTGTGGCTTTCAGCTCCAGAGAGAGGATTTCTGTCTCAGTGGGTAGGAGGCAATGGTGGCAGGGAGTGATCACAGGTGGTCCGTGGTGGGGCTCCTGTTGACTGATCTGTAGCTGCTCAACTGAGATGGGCAGGAGCCAGCAGACTCACTAGGTGGGAAACCCAGGAGGGCTGACCACCACGGTTCAGCCCCTAATGGCTGCAGGGAAGAAGGAGAAGGGCCAGAGTTGGACATCCCTCAGAAGATTGGCATGGCCAGCTCAGGGCAGCAAGGAGGGCCCTGGGGAGACCCCTCTTCCCAACAATATCACAGATAATTAAGATTCAACAAGCCCCTTGCTGAAAGGCCCAGGTGACTGTGTGAGATGTCTACATCTAGTTTTTACATTGTAAATCCTCATTGGTCCCGAGACATTGGTCTTATTGTTATTCTCATCACATGGATGAAAAAACCAAGACCAGAAGAATTTACCATTTAGCTGGAGGTCACGCCCTGGGAAGGACTTGAGGCAGACTTCAAACCCAGGCCTGCCTAACTCCAGAGCTCCCCCTCTGTTCACACCCCAACCCCATGCCTCAAATGGCCTCACATCTCCCTGAGCAGGTCCAGAGTTGACTCAGGGATCTGGGCTCCCAGGGAGGATGCAGCACATGCTGGGCAGAGGGTCTTGTCCCAGGCCCCAGCTCTAGAGGGATGCTGGGCATTAGTGGGAGGGAACAGGGTCTGGGCCTGGACTCTCCCTGGTGGGCAGCACTGCTGAGTGTCAGGGTCTGAGCAGAGGAGGAGGAGAAAGAGGAGGAGGAGGAAGAGGAGGAGGAGGAAGAGGAGGAGGAGGAAGAGGAGGGCCTGTAGCACTCTGTCCTAACACTACGTGCTTTCTGCTCCTCATGTCCTTCTCACACCCTTTTTTGCTGCCTGCAATGACACTTTCTGGCTGAGCTTCTGGGCACGTCTCCTCTGAGATCTTCACACTTTCAAAGTGGAGCTAGAATAACATTGAGTGGTTGTGAGGTTCACTGACACGATATATGCTAGGAGCAGGTCTAAGCGGACTGCTTAGTTCCAGCAAGCGTCTTTATCTGCAAAGTCCTTGCCATTTTTCCTCTTTCCCATAGCACATTTCACTTTTAAAGCCCGGTGTAAATGCTTTCTCATTGCTCTCGACAGTATCCATTTGCCGTGATTGCTGTTCTGCTGGCAGCTTGTTAAGAGCTTTATCTTATGATTTATCATGGTCTGACTGCATAATCTGTGGAGGATGTGCCTGTCCTTCCAGACAGTGAGCCCCCTGAGGGCAGGGGCTGTGTTCACTTGTTAGTTTGCTCCTCCCTGGCTCAGGAGGGCACAGCTGTTGGGATGCTCTCAGCAGACCCAGACGTGTGCCCTCTGGCCATGCCCACCCATCTTCCTTCCTCCTCTCTGAGATCAGCTGCTTGGCTCTTCTTTATTCTACTGACTCTCTCTTTCTCCATCTGTGAGTACAGGCCACTCCCTTTATCTAGAAATGAGTTTCTCTTTTGATGTTTGTGTCTTTATTTTCCCAGAGGTTTCTTTCCTCTGGTTACTCTTTCTCCATCCTCTTAACAAAGGTGGGTTTCATAGCACTTTGAGTAATTGCAACTCAAGGCAGTTGTGCCTGCATGGAGCTGAGCTCCTTCTCCCTGGCCTTCTGCCTGGACCTCCTTCTCCCAAGTCTGGATGTACAGATGCTTTGCTGCTACCACATTAACGATCTGAGATGACATTAAGAAAAAAAGCAGAATCATATGAAGCCTCAATACAGATTGAAGGGCCAAAGAAAATATGTGTTTATATCTAAATAACACAGAGATGGTGATGTAGTCTCCAAACCCCAGTTCCTCTGCCTCCTGGGCAAGGTATTTGCCAGCCCTCTTGCAGGGACATGAGACCAATGACTAAGTTCTGGCCAATAGAATATGAGCGGGAGTAGGTGACTCCAGGCATGGCCTGGAGGCCTGGCCTGGCTGTGAAGGGTCCAGCAGAGAACTCAGGAATCCATGGAGGTGGCAGATTCTAGGTTCCAGAATCACACTGGGGAGAGAGTCACCTGCAATCAGATGAATATGCACTGCTACCAGGGAGAGAAAGAATCTCTTGCTTCTGTTAAGCCATTTCAATTTGAGGGCTATATTACTACAGTTATCCTGCCCTGATACGATCCCAAGAGTATCTGTGGATAGATACTCTTGTATTCTATGCTTACATGGATATGTATAGCATTAATATAAAAATAAATAGCTAATGAAATCAATATGGGGCAAAACAGATTAGGGAATAAGACGAAGTCATGAGTAAAAGGAAGATCTTGCAAATCACAGGAAAACCAACAAGGAAAAGAAAAATACTTCAATGGAAGAAAAGGGACGAAAGCTTTGTACAAGCAATTTGCAAGTGAGTTAACCCCAAGGCCAATACATACATGAAAAGGTGTCCCTAATCATTAGGAAAATGCAAATTGAAGACGCGATGTGGTTCCACTTTAGACCTCTCAGCTTGGCAAGTGACATGATGACAGGGGAGAGCAGGAACCCCATGGCTCCCTTGCTGGGAATGTAAATTGCTGCGAGCTCCATGGACAATGAGCTGATAATACCCAGGAAAGTTGAAGAGGTGCATCGCCCACCCAGCTAGTCTATAGCAACTCTCACATATGCACAACTAATAGAGATAGGATGCTAATTTGGCTCTGAGCTTCCTAACAGCTGAAGCAAAGGGAAACATGATTATTTACAGGATTCTCAAAAGTAGACCAATGGCTGTGGCTTCTTGGCCATGAAATCAGAGAAATATTTCTCCTATGAATTGCTCCTGGGAGCAAGAGGTACTGTGACAGATGAGATTATAGGCAATTCCTCATAATAAATAGTACATTTCAGACAATTTACTAAGCTTCAAACCATGTATACAGTTATACAAAACTTAGTTTTTTTTTTTAGAGATGGAGTCTCCCTCTGTCGCCTAGGCTGGAGTGCAGTGGTGTGATCTAGGCTCACTGCAACCTCCACCTCCCAGGTTCAATCAATTTTCCTGCCTTGGCCTCCAGAGTAGCTGGGACTACAAGTGCATGCCACCATGCCCGGCTAATTTCTTTTGTATTTTAGAGATGGGGTTTCACTGTGTTGCCTAGGCTGGTCTTGAACTCCTGAGTTCAGGCAATGCACCAGCCTCAGCCTCCCAAAGTGCTAGGATTACAGGCGTGAGCCACTGTGCCTGGCTGTGAAAACTTAGAGTTGATTATAGAAATGAAATGCAAGCTGAGGCCCAAAAGACAATTCAGTAACTAATAGAGATAGTTATAGGAGAGTTCAAAGCCATGTGGTCCAAGTATGAGCTCTCTGATGACTAAGGATGGCCGGGCTTGATTCAGGGATGAGATTTTCAATATCACCACAGTTCCAGGAAGAGCCATGATGACTGTTTCTACAAACCAAGTATTTGAATAGAACTGAGTCGCAGAGTTCTATTAAAATTTTAGGCAAACCACCAGAGTGGAAGTATCTTCTGTTGTTGATTTAAGACATGGCCTTGAGCTCTGCTCAGGAATAAGGTGAGAAGATTGCTACTTTCCATGAAAATTAATGAGTCCTCAAAAGGAAATGTCTGGGTAGATGGCCCCTAATCTGGAGGGGTGTGGAGAGAGTAAAAGTAAGGGGGAAGTTATATAAAGCAGTGGAATCTATGGTGGGTTCCTAATCACAGCATTTTGATAGGAACTCCTTTGCAACCCAAAGAAAAGCAAGCCATGGCCAGTGTTCTATCTTCCATTGCTTCTCTATGAGAGCTCAGGTTCAGGTTCAGAGTTTACTGACTTTAGTTCTGAAAGGCCCAGGTCTTGACCCAAGTGCACAGTCTTGAGTCCTTGCAGGAGTGGGTGCTTGTCATGTCCCTTAGTCTATTCTTTCTTCTGGTCATGTAAGAGCTACACAGCTGAACCTAATGCTTCAAGTCCCAGAGAGAAAGGAGGGGCCTAGAGACCAGTCCTCCCCTATCCCACTTAAAAATGGGACGTTTTCTTTTCCTATGTGATTCTCAGAGTTGGGAGGTGGGCATCAAGGTTCTCAGGACACATCTGATTAACCCTAAAACCACACAGCCCAGAGGGTTCCTGCCTGGGAGCCAAAGACCAGGCCAGTGCGATCCACACTGGGAGGAGGGTGGGTGGCTTTCAGCTGGGGCCTCTGCTGGGCGGAATGGTGTGACAAGGGTCAGTGTGGGTAGTCACTGTGATCCCACATTTGAAGTGTACAGAACAAGAAGTGGTCACCTCCAGCTAAGATTGAAAGCAACAGGCTTGTATGTCTAATCCTGACAGAAGGGAAGATTTGTCCCTTTGGTGGGGACGAGAGACTTGGCTTTGGCTCCAGCCTGTGGGTATCCACCCAGGAAACGGAAGAGGCAGTTTGCAAGAATTTGGGCTTACCACCTAGGGCAAATGTTTCGGAGCTCTGGGAGCAAAGAGGCCTTTTAGTCCCTTTCCTCAGCTCTGGGAGGCCATCTCTAACCAATGACATCACCAGGTGTAAAGGATGCCACTGGACTCTGCCCACATGCCCTTTGCCAGTCCTGTGTGTCCATCCCCAGCTCCTGAGAGCTTTGGTTCTAATATAGAGTGCACCTTTGAAAGCTGCTCTCTTGTCACTGGAGCCGCCTCACCCAGACTGTTGGAGATCTAGAAGTGCTAAGAGTTTCTATCCACCTGGGACAGATTGAAGTTAAGTCCCATTTGGTGTAGGAATGCAAAAGCTTAGGTTGGTTACTTCTAGGATGATAGACTCCTGTATTCTACGCTCTAGAGTGCCTGCAGGGTCAGGCAGAGGCTGGGCTTCACCTGAAATTGAACGCTGACTTAGCTTCTTCCCTCTCCCCTCCTGCTTCCCCTCTCCTTTCACAGGTCTCTCGTAAATCCTCCTCCCTGTGAGAGTAGGTGCACCGCCCTCTCTCAGGTCTACTGGCAGCACTTGTAGGGGGCTGATGCAGAATGAAGGCAGACACCTGGACTTGCACTGACTTCCTCCTGTACCCTGTTTCTCTCACTGTGCCTGGGTCAAGGGCAGCAGGATCTTGGGGTCATTATTTATGGTCAGCCCTTCATGATGAAGCCGGGGACCTCTTCCGAGATCTGTGCCAGTGGCTGGGTGTTTGGGCTTCTGTGAACTGAGTTGCTCGTAGTGTGACTGAGAGGCAATGCGTCCTGGCAGCCAGGCTTCCTTTGCCGAACTCCTCTGGGGCTGCCCTGGTAGGCCTGCCAGGGGAGTTTTGGCTTCCCAGAGAACCTCATAAAACAGGAATTTTATAGTCAGAGCCTCTGCTGCCTAGATCAGAGAAGTCAGTCTGAGACTGAACGGTCCCTGTTAGTGCTCTGTGACCATGGGAGACAATCCCTGGAGAGGGAGCAGCAGCAGCCGCCACAGTCTTTCCACCCCCAGGCCATGAGAGGGTCCTCACCCCCTCCAATGTCTTTACAACCACCTGGCCACACCTGCCCAGGTCACCTACAGTCAGCCTGAGGGCCTCCTTGTTAGGAGAACAGGCCTATGGCCATCTCCAACCTACCTCTGCTCCCCCCAACTAGCCGGCATCCTGTCCCTGGCAATGAAGGCAAATGCCCTCCTCAAGAGAGCTGGGCATTGATGATGAGGACTGACTGAGCCCAGGCTGGGCCAGTAGAGAGAGGGCAGACGTGGCCAGTGATCCACAGGACTCCTGCTGGGGGCAGGACTGGGAGGGAAGGAGTTGGGGGCAGCTGCCGGGTTTTTGGCTTGAGCCACAGAGGTTGCTGAGGGTGGAAGAGCTCCCCTTCTGAACTGTGATTGCCATGTTACAGATAAGGCAATTGTTGCATCATCAAAGACAGCAGCCCTTTGGCTGAACTGCCAGCCCATTTCCCGCCACTGTATGCCGCGGGCTGCTGTTGAGCAATAACATGGACGTTGGATCACTTGGCCCCCTGCTGTCCTGGTGACTACTTTTCCCAGAGGTGTGGCTCATGGGAAGCTGTCTTCTGAAGGCAGCATGCCCATGGTTGGTGCCCAGGCTGGGGCTTTTTGGGAAGGCATTGGCATTCCTGGCATCCAGGTCACTGCTCATTTGTATGGGTAATTTGTGCTTGCTAGATACAGGAAGCTCAAAAGGCTCCATAGCTGGGACCCTGCACTGGAGAAGCCTTCCCTGAATCACAGCAAAGGAAAGGAGACCCTGAGTCTAGTACTGCCAGGTGCCATCTGGAGGCTGGACATTCTCCAGCCCTGGCCCAGTGGCCAACCTTCAACAGGTCCCCTTGTCAGCCAGTGTCCAGCAAAAGCTAAAAATCCAGGGTTCATTCTTACAAAGAACATCAGCTTGGAAAGAAAGGGCGGGACCTGGGTCTCAATATGCAGCACGCCCAACATTCTAAGAGAGAGCTTCTAACATGCCACTTTTCTGTCCCTCCCGTAGCCAGGCGCGTGCCTCCATCTCATGCCTGGAGCTGCCTTCCTTCCCATCTCAGATGAAAAGAGCCTCACATGCTATCCAAGCTTCCAGTCACCTTCTGTCCTGGGAGCCAGCCCCCTGGTGCCTTCAGCAAGCCCTGGTCCCAGCACTGCATGTGGCCATCCTGTGTCGTGACTGTCCAGCCTGCAGGCATGCTCCAAATCCCTCTGTCTCATTCTCAAAACGCTGCTTGCTCCTGGGCTTCGCAGCAGCCTGCTCTCTCCTTCCCTGCTGCAAGATCTGGTCTCTGCTCTGCCCACTTGCTCCTCCAAAGGGCTCTCACTGAGACCATCCTGGTCCTCCACTACCAAGTGATACAAGCACCTTGGTCTTCAGTGTACTGTCCTCCCTCAGCACTGGACACTGTTGGACCTGTCCCCCTTGTGGATGCCCCCTGCTCCCTCTGGCTCTGCCTTCTGCGGTCCTTTGCAGGCCCTCTGTCCCGTGGTCTTGGTCAAACTCAATCCACACACTCTGGATGAGCATGGCTGTGCCTGGAATCAGTGACCATCTCTGTGCAGCATCAGTGAACAACTCTCAGATGCTCCCTTCTGAAGGCCTGGCTGTGTCCCCACTCGACACCTCCCCACAAGTACAGCAGTCTTGGCTGTCTCTCTTGCCGAAAACTGAACTCAGCTTATCCCTCCCGCCCTTCCCCCAAACCTGCTCCTCCTCAGATAAACTCATCTTTGGTGCCCACACAGCTCCCTGTCCCCCAGCACTCCCTATCACAGCAAACAGCTTCAAAAGTCACTCTGTTGCTCAAGCCAGAAACCTGGGAGCTGCCCCCAACTCCTTCCCTCCCAGTCCTGACCCCAGCAGGAGTCCTGTGGGTCACTTGCCATGTCTGCCCTCTCTCTGTGGGCCCAGCCTGGGCTCGGTCAGTCTTCATCATCAATGCCCAGCCCCCTTGAGGAGGGCGTTTACCTTCATTGCCGGGGAGAGCTACCAGGAGCTGGAGCTGCAGGAGTGAAGTGCAAGACTTGCTGGACCCTGGCGCATCATGAGGAAACTGCCTTACTCCCAAATCCCTCTGTCTGGTTTGGGTGGCAGAGACTCCTGGTAGCTCTTGCCTGCTAGTTGGAGGGAGCAGGGGCAGGATGGTTATGGCCCTGGGGCACAGTGGGTTTAAGTGGCCTCTTTGCTGTCTCAGGAGCAACACGAATCCCAGCAGGGCAGACTCCCAGCTCTGTGTGCTGTGCTCGAAAGCCTCTCACCTGGGGCAGACCCAGCCCCAAGGGAATCTGTGCTCCCAGGGCCACACTACACTACATTCCAAGGCACCTGTCTGGTGTCTGGAGGAGGGAAATGGAGGTTTCCAAACTGAGAACCTGGAGCAGATGGGCATTCCCCACACAGAGCTCCTGGAAGCCTGTGTGCTTCTGGGGTAGGGAAGCTCTGCTCTGCCCATCCCACTCAAGGGTCCCCCCTCCGCAGCACAGCCCTCCTTGAGGCAGTCACCATCCCAGCCACGCTCACCTGACTTCCTGGGAACAGAGGACACCCTCTCCTGACCCTCTCCCCAGTGCAAACAGAGTTGGAGCTGCAGGAGTGACATAAAGCAAGACTTCCTGGGCCCTAAGGAGGGGCTGGCGCATCATGAGGAAACCGCCTTGCTCCCAAAGTCCTCTGTCTGGTTTTGGTGGCAGAGACTCCTGGTAGCTCTTTCTTTCTCTGGGGTGAATGCACCGGGCAGGGTGAGAAGTCCCAGTCCCATCGGCTACCATCACTAGCCCCTCGAATCTCCTGAGGACTGGGGCTGGCTGCCAGAGAGGCAGAGGCAGGGCGACTCCCCCTGGGGGGTCTGTTGTCACATGGCCCCATGGAAGTGGTGGCACTGAAGAGAATCCTGGGGCCTGGCAGGCTTGGGGAACCAGGCACGGTGGCCTGGGGGAGGGGTGGAACCAGTGGGAGAGAGAGAAGCTTTCAGACTTTCAGGGAACGTAAATTTTACCCCCGGCTACTTTCTCTGGGATTTATTTCTCGGTGAACTTGAGACTTTGCCTAATTACGTTTGGGTCTCTTTCAAAGCACATAAATTGCATCCAGTTCTTCTGCCTCCTTCTTAGGAATAAATTGTCCCTGTGTGAGGAGGGATCTGGGGGAGAGAGTGAGACTTTATTAATTCGACACAGAACTCTGTTTCCCTGCCCTCCCCTCTGCCCCCCATTGAATAATAAAATAATGAAGATTTGACTTGGACCAGGATGTATGGATAAATATATTGGTGACATGAATGGAAATGGATTTATTACATAAACAGGAGACTTCATCAATTTAAACCTGGCCTCCTTTCAATGGGCATAAATTACATTTTTTTTTCCTACCAGTTGCTTTTTCTTTTTTCTTTTTTTTAAGAAACTGAATTTATCGGAATTGAGATTTCACTAATTTATTTCATGGAGCATGTGCTTCCTCCTTCTGCCCACCTCATTAGAGACAGGTTTCCTTCCAGCTTTCCTCTTTCCCACTCAGGGAGATGTGGCCTCCTGGGAGGTCAGAAGTGAGGCTGGGGTGGAGTATGGGCTATCGAGGTTGGGCCCCGAGAGACTCTCAAACCTCTACTCCATCTAGAGCAATCCAGTCCTTAGGCAGGGGGCCACATCAAGATGTCCAGCCCAGAAGCAGATGGTCCCTCTCCAGGACCCCACCAGGTTGAGGGATGGCCCAGTGTGGGACCCGGCCTCAGTGAGTCCCAGGACAGGGCAGCAGGTAAGTGGCAGGGGAATTCCAGTGCTTGGCTAGGAGTTCCAAGTGAGATGGCCATGGTAAGGCTGATGGGAGTGCCCAAGGTCCCATCAAAGACCAGTGGCGGGCTGGGCACAGTGGCCCATGCCTGTCATCCCCGCACTTTGGAAGGCCAAGGCAGGCAGATCACCAGAGGTCAGGAGTTTGAGGCCAGCCTGGCCAACATGATAAAACCCCATCTTTACTAAAAATATAAAAATTAGCTGGGCATGGTGGTACACACTTGTAATCCCAGCTACTTAGGAGGCTGAGGCAGGAGAATCGCTTGAACCTGGGAGGCAGAGGTTGCAGTGAGCTGTGGTATGTCACTACACTCCAGCCTGGGTGACAAGAGTGAAACTCCATCTCAAAAAAAAAAACAAAACACCAGTGGCAGGATGCACATGGCCAAGGATTGATGTCATAGGAGTGCAGGGCCCTGTTTCCGCAGGTCCTCTTCCTCCTCCTCCTTCCTTTCTCCTCCTGCCTTCTCTTAGCAAAATGGAGATTTGGGCCAACGCTAGCTCCAACGTTTGGTTGGTGCAGGGAAGACGTCTTGCAAGTGCCCTGTGGAGGAAGATGTGGCCAGTGGTCTTGGGCTGTGCTTCTCCGTAACTCTGGGCACGGCGAGGTTCCTTCCAGCCTGAAAAGTCCATGTAGGGAGCCTCAGATCTGCCTCTCCCCAGGTAGCCCTCCTCAAGCTTGGACAGTGCTGAAAGTCTTGAATATTCTCATTCATTTAAAGTGGTGAGAAACTCAATGTGTTGCTGCTCCCAGGGATGTAGGCGTGAGGAAGAAGGGTAGCTGGCATTTTATTTAGCGAACCTAAGAGGACCATGTGTAGCTCAAAGGAGTGACTAATGTAGGGAATTTGGGGCACCACAAGAATGAACTGATGAGAGATTTCTGTGCACTAGGCCTTCCTGACCCCCCTGAGTGTTCCATGCTGAAATGGGAGGGGCTCTGCCTCTGCAACACAGGCCCTTTGGGGTCAGCCATGTGGGGAGGAGGCTTCTTCCCACCAGAACCCTCAGTCCCATCCCATGTCCCACCCATTTCACCAGCCCCAGGCCTGGCAGGGGGGCAGTGACGGCTCTGCAAGCTGTCACTCACCAGGCCTGTGTCAGGCACAGGTGTTTCTAATAAGGACTCCTCAGGCCGGCTACATCCAGGAGGATGTTTACAAGAAGGTCTGATGAGAAATTGTCTCCAAATGCTGCCTTGTAAGCAAGAAGTTATGAAGGGGGGCCGGCGGGGGGCGCCTTAGGCTGTAAGCAAACAGGACTCCAGAATGGGGCCTGGCCAGTGCTCTCCTACCCCCCTCCCTTCTTGGCCAGGACTGGCAGGCTGGGGCCTGGGCAGGTCTGGGCCCACTGCCAAGGGTGCTAAGTGCCATTGGGGTTGGGTTTCAATAAACAAAAGCAATAATGTTGGAAGAACCTCCACAATAAACAGAGGCTGGGGCATCCCAATATTGCTATCCAACCCCTGAGGCCTTGTCTCTGACCCTGTGGTCTTCCTTCAGCCCCTCCTCCACAGGGCAAGGGGCAGGAAATCACAGGTTTTATTATCAGCATAATGCATAATCAACACGTTATTAAAGAGCATCTTCTTGGAGAAGCCCAGAGAAGGAAGAGGGGTGTCCTGTCTCCAAGCCTTCACATGGAGAACACTCCAGTATGATTACTCCCTCAAAAAGGAAGGTAGGGGGATGCAAAGCCGGGGTAGGGGGCTGCCAGCTTTTTCGGCTTTGAGCCCCACGCAGTTTCTTTTGAAACTACTCTCCTCTGCCATTGCAGTGCAAAGGCAGCCTTGGATAAGAGATTGCTGGGTGGGCAAGGTGGGTTCTGATCTGCAGGAAGTAGTGTCCTGACCTCCGATGCACAGGATCAAATGAGACCCAGAGAGGAGAAGTGACCAGTCAAGATCATGAAACCTGTGGGCAACTGAGCAGGACAACTGCCAGGCTCCGGACCCCTCTGCCCTGCAGGCTGTGGACAAGCACGACCAAGCTCAGTGTAGCCTACCAAGGCGGTCCTGGGGACCTGAACCAGGAACAAGGGAATTACACTGCATGGAACAGGCCAGTGTTTTGGAGAGGAACTTGACAGTGAGAGAGTGGTACAGACAAAAGGCAGAATGTCACTGGGTTGTCCCAGGGCTGCTGGCCAACAGCTTCTGGTGCCTTCCCTGAGTTGTGGAGACGAATACGAAGGAGGGTGGCGGGAGCCAGGAGGGGTGCTGCTGAATGCTGAGGCTGCAGATGTCCCCCTTTGAACATGATCCCTGTGTGTGTGGGCCTGTGTGGGTCGCGGGGTCCCTAGGGTGATGCTGTGCTAGCGAAGAAGGGCGCAGTTCAGCTTGGGGCATCTCTGTGAGAATGGAATGAAATTCCCTTGGGGTGTGGGTGAGGTTGAAGGGCACTGAACGAGGCTGGGCTGGGCATGTTTCGTGGTGGGTTGAGGTGTGTAGAGGACTTGAAGGCCCAGGGTAGCTGGGAGTTCAGTGTGGCTACGGGATCAGGGAACTGTGAGAGGGCTTGGGGCTGCCATCAGAGTACCCACTTTTTAAGTGGAGGGGCAGTGAGGTTTGGCCTGGGGTGTTCTGCTTGCAACCAGGTTGAGCATTACTGTGACATGTGGCTTTGGGGTTGGCAAGTCTTTGTTAGGTAGGCTTGGGCTGGAGATTGGGGCATGGATAATGGGGTTTGAAGATGAGTGTATGCTTAAGACACTGAGGGTCAGTCCAAGGTTAAATCTGGTGGGTCAGCTTTGGTAAGGCTGCGTATGAGGAGAAGTTCTGGGGTTACGAGTGTAGCCTTGTTTTAAGGTCTTGTGTTGGCTGGGATTGAGGTCGTTGTTTGGTAAGGCTCATGGAGTCAGTGAGTATTTAACTTGGGGGTTGTCTATGCCAGGGGCTCTAATTAGGGGGTAGGATCCATGGGAGGCTGGAGATGGGAGTGACAGGCCATGATTGAGATTGGGGTCAGCCTGTGGCTGGGCAGCTGGCAGAGCTGGGGTTCGGTGGATCAGTGTCTTCTAGAACTGAGAGGGTGTGCGTGTGTGTTGCCTGGGACAGGGAGCCGATGTGTATTAGGGGTTGGGGCATTGCCATGTGTGACTGAGTTCAGGGAGAAACATGTGCCCAGGCTAAATGTTCCAGTGTGGCTGTCTTGGGCCAGTGTATGGTTAAGGATGAAACCAGTGTATAGTTGGAATTGAGGGATAAGCATGATTCGGGGTCACTTGTGATTGAGGATTCAAGGTGCAGCTGGGCTTGCAGTTTGCTTATTGTGTTCATAGGTTTGTGGGTCAGGGTACAGCCAGATTTGGAGTAGACAGTCTGTGTTTGGGGATTAAGTAGTGTGTGTTTGAGGCTCAGTTGGAGGGTTAGGGTGTGCATGAAGTCAGGGAAAGTGAATGAGGAGTCTCCCAAGAAAGCCTCCTAGAGGAAGGAAGCCTCATGAGCAGAACCTGGAGGCTGAGTCAGAATGAGCTGACGACCTGGGCCAGGGTTCCACATGCAGTGGGGTTACAGGTCACTGTGGGACCACGAGGGTGAGAATGGGTCATAGGAACTGGCAAAAAGGGAGTTTATGGAGTCAGGGCTTCGTTTCGAGTGGCAAGTCCTTGAATAGACTTCTCAAACTGGGCTTCTTAGGGAATGCAGAAACTGGGGATTCAAGGATCGAACTTACTTGAATATCTGGGCAAAAACAATGTAGCAAATGCTGCTGCCCACACACCCTTGGTCCTCACACTTCTTGATACACTGACAGCTCTGTGCTGCAGCACCTGTGACTCTGTCTGAGGGTGTTGGCTGGGAGAGCAGGCTCAGTCTGCACTGACAAGCCACAAGGGCCTGAAGCCAATGCCCAGTGATAGCCCATCGCAAAGACAGGCAGGAATTGGTAGATAAATACCCTGGCTTCGGCGCCTTAGCCTGGCTGAGTGCCTTGCGGGCAGCAGTCTCTTGCTCATTTATCTACCCAAGGCGGCTTCCTTCCTTCCTTCACCAGCTCACAGTGCCGCTGCCCCATGGTGATGTTTCCTGGGATCACAGCCCAAGTGCAAGGACTTGCTCTCACACCTGTGTCTCAGGCCTCCTCCTAGGAACCCAGCCCCAGAAAGACACTTCAGTGGTAAAGCTAACAAAGATGGACTGTGGAGCATGAATTCCACAGGACTCCCGGAGATAAAGGAAACGCCCGGACGGAGAGCGCGTGCCTCTGCAGTGGGGGTTCCCTGCCTTAGCTCACCAGTAGGGGCTTCAATTTGGGAACCCCAGCTGAGCTAGAGGGCAGGGAGGGGTGGTGTGCCTCCTGGGTACCGACAGGGTGGAGCAGGGTGGGGCGTGGGTCTGAAGGGGCAAAACAACAAGCACTGAGCACCGCTCTGCACTAGGGCTTGGGGAACGAATCACATGTGGCCAGGGGTACAGTAAGTGCGTAGCTGGGATTCAGGTTCCTCAGCTTGTTTCCTCTATTACAGGGTCAGAATGGGATTGAGCTGACTAGCTTCGAGGTTGTTCTCGTCCTAATAACTTTGTGGGGATCAATGTGCAGTTGCTATGGGTGGCCAGAGTAGCCCAGTTGTGGTATTGTGTGGTGGGTGACCCTATTAAATCATGCTTGGGATTGGGAGTTATGCCATGGAACTGATGGTAGCTGTCAACAGTGGTCATGGAGTTCCCTGGAGGGAGGGCTGTGTAATTGCTTTGAGAGTACAGTGAGTCACTGGGTAGGGGTCAATATTTGAAACAGTCAGAATGGGGAGGAAGATTTATCCAAGGCAGCTGACAATCTGTGTAGTACATTTGCATGGATTTTTTTAAAAGGCCCCTCTCTGGGCAGAAGCAGCCCTGCCCCCATGGGACAGGCATGGTAAATGGGGTGCAGGTTGGATTTCAGCCTCCACTTGTCCTCTCATCTGGGTGCCTTTGGGAAGTGACCAACCAGCACAACTGCACACGCCAGTTCTGGGCGCAGTTGGCGTCTCTAGCAGGGCATCCTTTCTAACCTGCCTCAGCGGTGCCCATGTCCTCCAGCCCTCTCCACAGTTGTTGCCTCCAGCTGTCCTGCTCTTCCACAGGGAGCCCGGGTGGGTTTCTGCAGAATGAGCCTCTGCACTCTGTGAGGCTTGGGAGCTGGCTTCCTGGAGTGAGGGTCAGGGTCAGGGTTCGAGTCCTGGCCACGTCGTATATGTGTCAGAATGAGCAATGCCTTTTTAGGTCACATATACTTTGGACTTCAACACTGCTTTATGTAGGCTGTAAAATTAATAGGTGGGAACTAGATTTATGGGCCCCGCTGGGCTGTTCTTTGCTTGTTAGGTTAAACACACTGATTTCCTGGTACAAAAGTGCTTGTTAAAATAATCTCCCCCAGCATGTTCAGAGGGGACATATCTGTCTTTTTTTGGGGGAGAGGGGTTGGGAGAAGACCACATACCCCATCCCCACCTCCCCTCCTGACCCACCTGTCATGGCCTCCCCCATCCCCCACGGTGTGTATGATGGAATGAATGATAATGTTTCTGGGTGTGGGTGGGGGGCCTAGGGAAGGAATGCACATCCGTGCAGATAGCACCAGAGCCAGATGCACCCTCGCATCAACCCCCATTCACCCTGAAGAGCCACTGGCCTTCGTTCCTGCCCTATCTCTAGAAGGAGGGAGCAGGGGGAGGTGTGTGTATGGGAGGCACAGCTTGGCTGGAGGGGAGCCAGAGGATGTCCTAGCTGTCGCTTTTGAAGACTTGGAAGTTGGAAATGGAGGCAGAGAGGAGGCAGAGGCCCTGCTTCTTCCAGCTCTGCAAGCCCTCAGGTGGCATTGTGTTTGCAGATACATGAGACTCCTCATCTTCCACAATGCCTGAGACAGGCACCCTCCCTGAATGACTCACCCTCTTAGGGGGCAGAGGCTGTCTTGCCACCTCCTGCCCTGGTGGGGTGCCCCTTCTTCCCCTGGGGGTATGTCTGGTGGAGTCACAAGAGGAGTGGATTTTGCAGAGCTTGTCAAAAACTTCTGACAAGAACCAGGTTGCTCACAGATGTTCTGGGCAGAGCAGGGGCTGGAGCAGGCTGGGTCCCGTTGAGGGGAAGACAGTGTGGTGAGCAGCTGCAGAGACACTCCTACAGGGCAGGAAGAAAAGCCCAGGCTGGACCAACTCAAGAAGCATGCTTGGCACTTAGTAGGCGCATGAGATCTGGTTGAATGACCTCATGCTGATGGAATGCTCGGTGGCATCTACTTCCTTGTTGAAATCCAGCTGGTTTTGAAACCCTCCGAAGGTGATGCTTCCCAGCCCTTGAGCCCACGGCAGTGCCTGGCTCCATGGAATTCCAGGGTTCTCACTGAGCTCCTTTCCTCCCGCCTCGTGCTTTCTCAGGCATCATGCCCATTAATCTCCATGACTTGTCAGTGTTCCCCTCCTAGGCTGGACTCCTCACCCTCCTCTGTCAGCCAAACTGCTCAGCCTTGGAAACTCACTTCAAGCGCTGCTCCTCTGGGCTCCCATTGCCTTTTGTATTTGATATTTGCTGTCATTTCAGCAAAGCACATGACCTACTCCATGCCTCATTCTCCACATCTGTTCTCATTCCATCCCCACGAGGTCAATATTATACCCAATGATGGATGAACAAACTGAGGCCCTCTGACATCAAGGAACATACCCAAGGCCACCCAGCCAGCAAGTAGAGGAGCCAGGGTTCGAGTCTGGGTTTGAGGACTCTGGTCAGCGCTCAGCCCCACCACCTGCTGCTCTGCATGTACCTACTGCCATCACTGTGAGGTTTAGAATCATACATTTGTAAACCCCAATCGGCTGGCTGGACCCTGGGAGCAAGGATGTTGTCTAGATCGCTTTTGAATCCCTAGCCCTGCGCAATGCTTAATGCATGGTGGAAATGCAGTATGTGCCTATTGATTAAGTTATGCTCTTACACCTACAGAGAGTTAGGCCTGGGTTTAGACTGCCTGGTAAGAATCTAGGTTCTAGTATTTCCTGCCTCTGGGGCCTTGAGCAACTTACTGAACCCTTCTCATGTGGAAATTGAGGTAATAACGGTATGTATCTCAAAGAGCTGTTGCGCAGCTTCAACAAAATGCTCTGTATAAAATGTTTACGACGATGCCTGGCACACACTAAGAGTTCAGCATCTCTTCTTTCTAGCACTCTCTTAACTGACTTGACTCTCTTCTTGTTCTGAAATACTGCCACCTGCTGGTAGGTTCCAGGTGCAACCACCGCATGCCATTAGTGCCCAGAGCAGCTGCTCCCCAACAGGCTCCCACCTGATTCCTTCATTCGGACCATCCTCCTCCCCTCCACAATAGCCTGGCTGCTCTTCTCCTTCCAGACCCTGCACACGGCACCTCCTTCTGGGAGCTTCCTTGAGTATCAACCCTGCACACCAGTGAGCACAGAGCCTTGTCTAGCTTTCTTTCCCCCTCTGTGTTCCCATCCTCCAACTATTTATTTGGTCGCATGACTTTTAGAGCAAGGAAGATGTAGATTTTGACACCAGCACATAGTATCTGTGTGACATGAGGCAAATTACTGAACATCTCTGACTTCCATGGTTGAAGGACCCCCAATAAACTGTTCTGTTATTATTCATTGGTCTACACTCTTGTTTCCGTCAGCCTCTGGTGTCTCCACAGAGCACTGCTTGCCTTCTGGTTCCCAACTGCAAACACCCTCTTGGCAAATTCTACAGACTTGTCCCTGCCAGTAACCATGGGAAAGGGGAACAACACAAAGAAGGAGTTGCCACAAAGTCAAAGCTCACTGTGATAGTCACACAGAAGGACCCAGGTCCTCACTCTTTTAGTTCCATTCTTGGTTCCCATGTGTTTCATCTTAGGCCTTGCTTGGAGAAGACCCAAACTTCCTGTCTCTCTTGACCACACCCCATGCTCTCCCAGCACAGCAAGTTGGAGGAGCTTGGCTTACTCCAACTCCTTCTGGAGGGGGATCTCATGGGGACTGATCTGTACGCATGGGGGCTGGACCACAAAGTTCTCCAAGGTCTTTTCTAGTTCTGGCATGCTTTGTATCTGAGTCAACCATATTTTGGCTTAATGATTTCCAAATGTCTGCCTGGGAGAACTCGCCTTTGCACCAGTAGCTGACATCAAGCATCATCCCAGACAGACCCAAGAGAACTTGCCAAGCCCCAAAGATGGGAACTAGGTGTCCTGCCCTTGAGAGAAGACTGACTCCTCTTTCAAATCCAATCCAAGAAGGTCTGAGCTGAGAAATAACTCAGGTTCTGACTCTGGGTGGCAGAGATAGTCCTGGGCAACAAGGCAACTGCTAGTCCCGCCCATCACTCATCTCTAAGATGAGCACAGCATCCTAGTGTGATGGAGGCCTTTGCAGGCCCCTGAAATGCACCTAACATGCCTGGGATCTCACCATTAGCTTCCCTCCTTTGGGTTCAGCATTTACTTTACAAGTTCATTTTAAACACAGCTTTGGCCCAGGAAGGGTAGCATGTTTTGTGCCTGTCCCTCTGGGATGTGTATTTTCCAGACCCTCACAGGCAGCCCGGGAGCTCTCAAAGAGGCAGAAGGAGGTAAGGGAGGGCTCCGAGGGGGCCGAAGCTGGGGAGCAGACACTCAGACAGACTTCACTGTGGGGCAGAGCCTGCCCACAGGCCTGGTGGATTAGAAGGGGTATTTGGTGAGTCTACAACTAGCCCGCGGCAGCGGGGAGCTTTGCTCAGACTTTGTAGACCATCCAATGGCCTCTTTCAAAACAGGATTTTGATGAGTTAAGTGTAAATGAATCAGAAACACATGGGTTGGATTTCCCTCCAAATGCAATGGGGTTTGAATACAGCCCAGGGAGAGAAAAGGGGGTCTGGGAAGGAAAGACGTGGCTTAATCAAACAGGTCTTTCCTTATTTCTATTAACTGTTGCCACAACTGCCTCGTGACTCCATGTCCTTTACCATCCGGCCACCCCATCCCCAGCAGTGGGAGACCTGGGTCTTTGCTGTCTGTCCAGCTGAGGACCCAGGGCCAGCCCTGGCGGCGTCAGACTGAGGGGGAGCTGGACGCTCCTAGACTCCCTCCGGCTGGCATCCAGAATGCCTGGCAGAGGCACTGGAAGGCTTTTCTCTGGAGACAGTGCCTCTGCTCATCCTAGACTCCTGAGGTGGGGGGGAAGGCTGAAAGGAGAGGGTGGAGCTGCGGGGGAGGTGCAAGGCCTCCTTAGGGTGACATACTTGTTTTACAGGGACAAGACCCTGGGCTTGGAACATAACATCTCTTAAGGATGCAACTTTTCAGACAAGACTGGTCTTCAGCTATTTAAACCACATATATGATTTTTTCATTATAAACATCATACTCTTTATCTTTTGTACAAATTTAAAACACAGAGATGCAAAATAAAGTAAAAGTTACCTATAACTACCACCCAGAGGTAACTTGTTAACATTTTGGTACAATTCCTTCTAGGCCTCTGTTGTGTGTGTGTGTGTGTGTGTGTGTGTGTGAGTACAGATTTAAAGCCATGCATTATAAAAAACAGTAAAGTGTAATGGTTAGAGTTTTGTGTCTAGTAGACTACGTGGGTTCAGATCTCAGCCTACCACTTGCTGGCACATTTCATCAACTTCCTAAACCTCAGGTCTCTCATCTGAAATTGATGATAACAACCACAGCAATAATGATACAGAAGTTGCCAGGATTAAATGGTATAACGCACATAAAGTGGACTGCCCAATGCCTAGTGGCCAGTCAATAGTTGTGAGCTATTAGTGTTTCTATTTTTCTTATTCTGACGTAAACATCTCCCTGTGTCATTAATATTTTCTATGACATGATTGACTGCCTTCTTGTCTGCCAAATTTTATTTTAAACGTCTATTATAAATAACACTGTAACAAACATCCTTCTGAATGTTAAGATGGTAAAACTTGAATCTGAGTTTTTCCCACACAAATTTGTTTTTGTGTAAGTTTATTTGCATGGAAGGAATTAACATGGAGAATATTTATGCTTATGAACTTGGGAAGAACTAGGTGATTTCTCTCCCTATAACTCTGCCTTTTCCAGAATGTCAAATATATTAGTTAATTCTCACTTTGCTGTAAAGAACTACCTGAGACTGTGGAATTTATAAGTAAAGGAGGTTTAATTGACTCACAGTTCCGCAGTCTCTGCAGGAACATGGCTGGGGACATTTACAGGACACTTATATTCATGGCAGAAGGCAAAGGGGAAGCAGGCATGTCTTATGTGGCCGGAGAAGGAGGAAGAGAGAGCAGGGGGAGGTACCACACTTTTAAACAACCAGATTTCATGAGAACTCACACAGTATCACAAGAACACCAAGAGGGAAGCCCACCCCCATGATCCAGTCACCTCCTACGAGACCCCTCCTCCAACACAGGGAATTAGAATTGGACATGTTATTTGAGTGGGGACACAAATGCAAACCATATCATCAAATAAGTGGAATCACATAGTATGTCACCTTTCATATCTGGCTTTTTCACTTTGTATGTAATGCTTTTGAGATTCATTCATGTTGTTGCATGTATGAATACAATCATCTCTTGGTATCCCTGGAAGATTGCTTCAGGAACCCCCATGCATATCAAAATCCATGGATGCTCAAGTCCCTGATATAAAATGATGTAGTATTTGCATTTAAGCCATGGACATTCTCCCATATTCTCTAAATTATCTCTAGATTACTTATAATGCCAAATACAATGTAAGTGCTATGTAATTTATTGTATTGTTTAGGGATAACGATAAGAAAAAAGTCTGTAAATGTTCAGTGCAGAGGCACTATCTTCTTTTTTTTCCCAAGTATTTTCAACTCATAGTTGATTGAATCTACAGATACAGAAACCATGGATAAGAAGGGCCAACTATATTGCATTTCTTTTTGTTGCTGTGTAGTATTCCATTGTATAGGTATAATTTGCATTTTCATTCACTAGTTGATAAACTTTTGGGTTACTTCTAATTTGAGACTATTATGAATAAAACTCTTGAAAATTTACATACCACTCATTTGGGTGAACATATGTTTTTATTTTTCTCGGGTAAATTCCAAGGAGTAGAATTACTGAGTCATGTGTATATAGTAAGTGTGTTTAACTTT